CGTCCCTTCCGGAAGCACGATCGCTCCTTTCCCGAGCCACCACCGCTCCTTTCCCGAGCCACCACCGCTCCTTTCCCGAGCCAACATCGCCCCTTCCGCCGGAGCAGGAGTTGGGCTGGGCTGGGCTGGGCCGCGGGGCGCGGTCTCGGCCATGGTCTGGGCGTTCGTGCTGCTGTCGCCGGGCGGGCAGGCCGGGCAGGCCGGGCAGGCTCCCTGCCGCGTGCTGTACGCGCGCGCCTTCGGGACCTCTCCTGGGACCCCTCTCGGGGGTCCCCGGCAGCGCCTTCGCCGCAAGGAGCAGCTACTGGTCGTGGCCAGGTAGCCGGGAGAACCCCCTGCCTCGGGGTGGCGACATCACCGTCCATGGGAAACCCCTTCCTGGGGATGCTGGGCTCGGTGGGACCCCTGTGACCCCCTCCATTCCCTGAAGCCCCTGGAGTTGTGACTCTCCATCCCTTTCCCTGGGACCCCCACAACCATGATGCCTCCTTTTTTTTTTGATGTGGGGGCTCCTGGGTTTTGCCGGACCCCCAGGGCGGAGACACCCCTTTATTGTGGGACACCCTCCCTTCCTGAGGGGAGCCTGTGCTCAGTGGGACCTCCAGAACTGTGGCAGCCCCCTTATGGGGGGACAGGGCTAAGCGGGAACCCCAGGACCATGATCCCCCCCCATTCATCAGATACGCCCTTTTTGGGGATGCTGGGACCCTGTGTCCCCAGTAGAGGGGGTCACTCTATCCCTGGATGAGACAGGAGTCCATAACACAAGGGTCCCCCCTTTCTCTTCCAGACAAGTGGCTTCCCAGTGCCAGCTGCTTCAGTCATCCCTGGGCCGCCTGTCCTCCCCACAGCTCCCCCAGCTGCCTGATGAGCCGGTGTCACTCCAAGATGCTCCGGGGGGGCTTTTCCAGATGCCCCCTGGAGACCCCTTCCCTGACCGGGTGACAGTAGTCTGGTTATCAGTGCTGGCCCTCGCCTGTGCTTTGGTTTGTGACCCCCAGGAAAATCTGTCCTTGGCTGAAATCACCCTGCGGCGCCTGGCTCCCCGGCTGCTCATCTCCTTGCGGCTCCTCAGCCCTGGCGCTGGCGTCCTGCTCCGTCCGGATGCTGCTGATGCCCTCCTGGATCGTCTCCTGCCCCATGGGCAGATGCTTTTTCTCAATGAACGTTTCCTCCAGGCAGTGGACCGGGAGCTGGGCATCAAAGCATCCCGCTGAGCTACAGATGACATCCCTGCCCACCACTTGGATATTTTTCATTGGGGAGAGACAAGGGAAGGATCCAAGATGGTTGCCAAGCCCCAGCAGGATGGATGGGAAAAGTAGCTCAGGAATAAAGAGCAACATGCTGGCAAAGAGTGGGATTTTAATCCATTTATCCCCCAACTTTGTTGTGGGAGAGCTAATAGCCATCCCCATAAATCCATCTGGAGCTGGAACAGTGCTGTGTTCCTGCACCATTTTCCTGCACTGTGTTCTTGCACCGCTCCATGCGCACATGACAGCGGTCAGTGGCTCTGCATGGCCGTGAATGGACATTAAAAGAGGGATGCCGGGTTACCCCAGCTGGATGTTACAGGGCAGGTGGGGGGTTCCTGGCAGGGGAGACCTGGCTGTAGGCAGTGCAGAACCCCTCTGCTGTGGGATGGGAGCTTACCTCAGGACAGGAGGAACCCCAGGGGACATGGAGAAGCTGAGGGTGTGCAACCAGGCCTGGTGCATCAGGGTCACTGGGTGGGGGATTTATTTAAAACAGGCAGCGAGGCAGGATGTGGCCGTGCGCCTGACACAGCAGGTTGGTTTGTCACCGAGTGATGCTGCTTGGGAACAGGGGACCTGTGTGACACCCTGGGAGGTGGCTGGAGCCGGCACCAAACTGCACAGCTCTTCCAGCTGCCACCAGGGTGCAGTGGGGATCAGGGCTCTATCCTAGCAGTTTCTGAGTGCTGGAAGAGTCAGGGAACCAGGACGTGGCATGCGTGGCTCTGCCTGGAGGCCCCTGACCTACTATACAAGCACATGGTAGTGGGTTTTTGAAAAAGGGGTAGGATGAAGAGAGAAAAGAAGAGATGAATTAAAGGGGCAGAGAAAGAAAGAGATGAAGAAAGAGAGAAAGAGAAGAAGGAAGAAAAAAAGAAAGGAATAAAGAAAGAAAGAAAAAAAGAAGGAAGGAAGGAAGAGAAAGGAAAGAGAGATCACCAGTCCTGGTTCCATCCATCCAACTGATGGGATGTCCAGGGTTCCGAGGACACAGCCCAGGCTTGGTGGGGGTACGTTTTTATAGATAGGTTTCCCTGCCCTGAAGACAGATTTCTCGCTTTCTATGCAAATTAGTTCTCATGCAGTCTGTTCTTTCACACCCTTCTGGAACTGGGTTGGGGGGGGTTGGGCATCTTGGATGGTCTTGTCCCCCCCTACCAGATTGACCTTTGGTTGACAGTATGTGCCTGCTTCTGTACTGATGCTGTCTTATTTTTTTAGTTGTGTCTCTGTGGACTAGAACAAGGATGTTTGTCCCAGAAAAGTGCTGCCCTACCTCTGCATGGCCCCTTTATCTGGTCACATCTTGTTCTTCCTTGTGGCATGTTAGTTCCAACAGTCCTTGGTTGGCTCCATGACCATCCTGCTGTCGATGTTTGAGATTTACACATCGTCCCCTTTTCTTCTGGGCTTCTACACCACCCTATGGCTCAAACATCAATAGGGCCCTTGAAAAGGTGATCCCTTGAAAAGGGAAAAGAAGGGAAAGAGAGGTAGAGGGAGGGGCAAATGCATTCTGTGAATTATCTCTAAGCTTTGGGATAATCTCTCCATAATTCTCCACACCTTAACGTACAATCCAATTACCAAAATGAAAAGCAGAAAGGTTAATACTAAAAGAACAATCACAGTGCCACATTTTGTTAAAAATTCACGTTGCTGTTGGCGACCATCCAAATAAAATGTCACACCAGAGGTGTTCCCCATCTTTCTTCACCCATTCCATCACCCAGTGGACATTTTCCACATCTTGGTGAACAGTAATCAAAGTCTGTTGTCTTGTGCTTGCTTCAACAGTCATCTCAGGTCCTCATGTTGTAGCACCTTTTTTACCAGTGTGAGGTTTATACCAGTGGGAATGGATTTTAAAGCTAAGATCGAGGTGTACTTAGATTTCAACAACTGGTAGGAGTTAATCAGAGCTGAATGATTGAAATCCTACCCCTTGATTTGAACAAATTTACAAATGTTAGAATGATTTTTTGTTATTACTACCTGATTATCTACAATTATGTGATCACAAGGTGTTCCTAAGCAATCAAATCTCTTGCCTGCATACACATGCATGTTTTCTGTGTTGCAATCTGATCAAATTTCAAGATGGCATATTTTGCTCAGTATCAAGAGAAGTGTCTTGAGCCCTTAGTGTATTTCCTGACAGATAAATCCTTGTTGTTCCTGCACAATGCATGCATCGAGTCCTGTAGTTTGCCATTTTTTCCCTTCTTTCTAGGCCCATACCCTATGTTCTGTGGGGTACAATACAGTTCCATTATAAATTAATCCTAAAGCATGATGGGATATATTTTTTACACTTTAGCATTAAGCACTGTTAACACAAAGGCAGTGACCGTATAATTTTTGAGGTTATAGGTAAAGTTGACTAAATGCCACCAGGACAGGAAGTTTCTTTTAAACTATTTTCCCAAATTACCTTTCTAATCTCAGTGGGCAAGGTACTGTCTTCACTTTCCCATATGATAGCAGCTGTCATATATTGCATGCACAATTGGGCTTGAATACAACCAAGAGCCAAAGAGACATTGTCTTGGAGTGTTTCAATGGTGTTAGCAATTAATTGTTGATGAGAACCAACTGGAATCTGAATGTATGGGCCATTATTTTGTATGCATTCATAGGATTCCACTTGCTGGATTTCAGTGTCACCTGGTTTATGGCCAGAATTCTCTTGCAAGTCAGCCACTGAATCAGATCTAATGGAGTAATTTTTTGTGTGTGATTTTCTGCTCCGCCCTGAGGTCTAGTAGATTCAGAGGGGGTTGAAGGAGATAAAGAATCTTCTTTCCCTGGTTTCTTGTCATTGGGATCACCCTATATGTTTACATCCCTTGTAAGTCTGCTGTACTTTTCCTGGAACTTTGATATCTCAGTCGCCGTATACAGCTCCATTTTGGTAGCAGTTTGCTGACCCTGACCCAGTTTTAATTAAGGGTCATAATGTTACTTCCTCATCATCAGATGACAAATGCTACATCTCACTTCTTGTCAGGGTAATAAATGCATTTACTGTGTTCCAACTCCTTCATTGGATATAAAAAGTCAGAGTTGTGTGATCATATTTTTTCAAATGGCACAGATTCTAAATCCTGCACTGGTGCCCCCTTTCCCACAGTTCCTGCAGACCTGGCCTGGGCCAGGCACCACTTTCCTTCTGCTTCTCCTCGATCTCCTGCAGCAGGAGCAGCACCTGCTCCACCATGCCAGGTCCCAACACTGTACAACCTGGATCACATCACCCAGGATGGAGAAGTTCAGTGTACTCAGCACCTTCCTAAAAGAGGCATCAAAGGAACACCCAGGAGGGCAAGGAGGGAGGCACTCCTCTGCCTGCAGCACCCTTGGCCAGGTCCCAGCCAGTCTGGTCCCCAGCCAGGACAAGCAGGGGCAACACAGTGCTCACAGGGCAGGGAGGGAGGCAGAGCCCATCCCAAAACTGCCCCACACCCTGGCTGCTGGCTTTTTGAACCTGCTTCCCATCCTCCATGCTCCTTAGCTGAGCCAGCTTTTGTTAACCATTACCGCTTGGGCGAGTCGGGAGGGTGGAGGTGCCAAGGCTCCTGGGGACCAGAGGCCTCAGAATCTTGATAGGTACAGCTGCAGCAGGAATAGGGTGGTAGAGGTGTCTCTGCAGCTGTAGAACCCTGTGGCGCCTATTAAAGGGGCTGAAGCTGGGGGAGAAGCACAGACAAGTGGGAGAAGAGGTGATGGTGGGCTCCATTCCTTACCCCTCACGGCTTGGGCTTAGTGCATGGCTGGCACCACAGATGTCAAGATGGCATCCTGCTGGGGAATAGGCGATGCCCCTGGCATCGTAATGACCCATCTCCCAGTCTAGCTCCTCCCACAGTCCTTCTGGGAGAAGGACTGCAAGGTAATGCTGCAGGTGCCCCTGCCTCTTTCCCCATCTGGGTTGGCAGAGAGGAGGCACTACTCTATCTTTCAACCACATCCTTGTCTGTCTCCAGATTATCTACATGGCCCGCAACCCCAAGGATGTTGTCATGTCCTACTACTACTTCTACCAGATGGCCATTACACCCTGACCCTGGCACACTGGCTGAGTTCCCGGAGACCTTCCTGGCTGGCAAAGGTGGGGGCTGAGCCACAGGATGCCCACCCTGAAATGCTGGTGGGAAGGACGTCCCCTCCTGCCCTGATTTTTAGCTAATCCCTTGACCATATTCCACAGTGGCCTACGGGTCCTGGTATGACCATGTGCGGGGCTGGTGGGAGAAGAGGAAGAAGATCCTGTAGCTCTTCTATGAGGACATGAAAAAGGTGAGGGTGGGATGAGGAGCAGGGTGCCCTAGTTGCCCCCCCCCCAGCGTTTTTGGCAGCCTCCTCTTGTCAACTGCCCTGCAGGACCCACGTCAGGAAGTGAAGAAGATCCTGCAGTTCCTGGGCAAGGAGGTGGCGGAGGGAACAGTGGAGAGGATCCTTCACAACACTACCTTCCGGGCGATGAAGAAGAACCCTGCTGCCAACTATGAGACCATGCCCAGTGCCCTGATGGACCACAGCCTCTCCCCCTTCCTCCATAAAAGTGGGATTTGGCCAGTGTTGGAGGGCTTGGGAGGAATGTCCCCGCGTTATATTTCAGCCCCCATCCATGGCTGCAAATATTTTGTGTGTCTCGAGATTTGCCCCACTTGCTTTCTTGCCCCCAGGGATCTGTGGAGACTGGAAGAACCACTTCACTGTGGCCCAGAACGAGCACTTTGACCAGCACTACCATGGCAGGCTCCGACCTCCTCTTCCAGATGGAGATGTGAGGGGCTCATCCCCCTTTCCAGGAGGACTCTGCTTCTCCTTGCTCCCCTGGTGCGGATGGTGGGTCCAAGTGGAGCATCCTTGCACTGATTTACTTTTCCCCTTGCAATAAATTGTGATAAATGGAGAGTGAGTCATTGCCTGCAGAAATGACTTCCCCTCTCCTGTGGGGGGGGAGGCTGAACTCCCCCAAATTCCAGGCAGTGTCTGGGAGAACCTCCATGATCAGCAGGAGAAAAGGTGGGCACACAGTGGATTTTTGGCTAGTGATGGTCAGGCATCACTGGGAATACGCATCCTCCCAAAACCCACAAGTGGCCCCTGTCAGCTTGGGTGCCCCAGACCCAGCCTACCAAGGTGTCTGGAGGGAGCATAGATCGGTGAAGAGTGGAAAAACCCCAAAGCACCAGCAAACCTGCTGCTGCCATGGCTTTTGTGTGCACAGGAGCTTTCATGGCTCTAGGCTGTGGCAAGTTTCTTGACAGAGTGGGTGGTGGTGAGGCTCTCCCCAGGCTCCCTGACCCAGCTGGAGCTTGGCAGCCCATAGTCTATGGAACAAAGGTGAAGGGAAACACCTCTCTGCTGGCATATGGCCGGGCTCAGCAACATCACCATCCTTGCTGGATAGAGAACCCACCCTGTAACCTCCAACCTGGTTGCACTGAGCCCTTGCTCCGGGATGGCCAGAGCAAACCACTCTCTGTCCCCCTGGGGCAAGGATGTGCTTTGGAGCCCCAAGTGCCCCACTTACACTCCATTTCTGGCCTGTTCCAGAGTTTCTAAGATTGCAGCTTTTTGGCAGTACAGCCTCACAGGGTTGTTTTATCCCCAAAGAGAAGCACCTGGGATCCGACTCCTATAGAACAGCAGTGCTGTGAGGAGACCTGACCCATAGGAATGAATCCTTTCCAGACATTTAATTCAATGCCAATGGAGATCTCTGTGCTTCCCCACCTCCTGGCTTTGCCTGCAGTGTTTGCACATGCAACCAATTTTGCTGATATGTGGACAGAGGGACGGGCAGGGAGGCATGTCCCTGCCTGCAAAACACCTGAACGCCTGGCATGGCATGTCCCACCTCACCTGGAATTTGGCCCTGGGTCCAAATCAGGGACTTCTATCAAGGTTGCAAACAAGTGAGCTGCTGCCCCTGCCCAGCTGCCACCTTTCCTGCCCTCACCACTCTCTCCTGGCTCGCAGGTCGCCTGTGGGAAGCAGGTAAGGAGGAGCATTTCACCACCACTGGCACCTTTAAACACCTTTCCCAGGAGCACTTGTGCTTTGCAATCCTGCAAACTTTGGACCCGTATTTGCGTGGAGCAGGGGTATGACCAAAGCCTGATCTCCACATCCCACTAGCAAGCCCCACGTCTGTGTGAGGAATTGGGGACGTCCACTCAGGTGACTCCTGGATCAGGACAGGGTGACGTTAAATTCCCCGGGCCGGGATTTCCTCCCTTTGTTTGCCTCTGCGAGTGGAGGGGGCAGCTGTGATTTCCACTCCCGCCACCTGTGTGCGTACCGGGGGTTGCTGAGCACGGCACAGCTTATCATAGGCATCTGGGGACAGTCTCTACCCCCGCTCGCCCCTTCCCTGCCCTCCTCCTGCCCCAGCGCTGTCCCCCCGCCTCCCTGAGCCTCCATCTTCCACGAAGGGAAGGGAAAATAGCAAATCCCGCCCCGTAAGCGGCGGGCGAAGCTTTGCCTCCTCCCTGCCAGAGGACCCGGAGAAGAGGTAATGGGGGGACTCTGGCCATGGTCAGGGGGATCGGCCCATTTCAGGATGCCCTGGCCTCACAAGCAGAGGGCCTGCGTGGGGGGGTGTGGGGGCTCAGAGAGACTCAGTGTCCCTGCAAACCCTTGGAAGACGGAAGCAAGCGACCAAGCGTCTCTCCAAAAGTCACAGTGTGGGTGTTTCGCAGCTGCCATATCCAGCGTTTCTATCCTGGCTGGTGGGTGAAAAGGTTTCCTGGGGAGAGAGTTCTGGGAGCCCTGCTCCTCATTCCTGTCTCCTTCAAACCCTCACTCATCCCCCTGCAAGAAGGACTTCCCCAAGCTGTCGTACAGCTGAGAGATGGGGAGGAAAAGGCAGAGGGAACGCAGCCTGAAACCCCAGCCAGGAAAGCCACTGTGAGCTTTTACACCCAGGTAAAAGTACCAGCTTGGTACAGGTAGCTGCCCCACTTTCTGTGCTGACCTGAGCCCCCCAGATCTAGCCATGCCCCTCCACACTCTCTGCACTGCCAGCTGGCCCCACAAATCCCCTCAGAAGACAGATGCCACCTCCCATGACACCAACAAGCAGGGGACAGTTTCCTTCCTGTGGGCAGGATGGCTGGGTTCAGCAGGCATTTTGGGGACTCCAGGGAAAGAGGTGCCCCCATGATGCTCCTTGCTGCCAGCCAGCCCTGCCATGTGTTCATGTCCCCAGAAGGATGGCCAATCCAGACTCTTATCTGCGTCAGCCCTGGCGCACAGTGCACGGCATTCCCATGGTCAACGCCTTTGCCCTCAACTGGGAGCGGATCGACAACTTTCAGAGTCGCCCTGAGGACATTGTGGTGGTCACCTTCCCCAAGTCTGGTGAGTGTCCCCAGGCAACAGAGAGGGGCTGCACTTGGGAAGGGAGGAACCAACCTGGAGGAGCTGGGACTGGAGAGGATGCTAAAAGGCAACGCTGGTAGATGGTGGCCCTCGGGTGCCTAAGATGGGGCTCTGGTGGGAGTGACATCAGCTGGACATGCAGCCTCTCCTCGCCAGGCACCACCTGGGTCAGCGAGATTGTGGACGTGGTCCTGAAAGGTGGTGACCCCAAAAAATGCAAGGAGGATAACATTATCAACCGGGTGCCCATGATGGAGTTTGCTGCCCCTGGGAAGATGCCAGCAGGTAACAGGGTGGCAGTGGGTGGTGGATGGGGGACACACTTGGTTTTGTATGGGAGGGTACCCCACTGGCAGTGGGATTGCTCGTGGGGGAAATCCTTGCAGGCACGGACCAGCTGGAGGTTATGGCATCCCCTCGCATCATCAAGACCCACATCCCAGCTCACATCTTGCCCAAAACCTTCTGGGAAAACCGCTGCAAGGTAACAGGCTGGAGTTACCACACCTGGAGGAATCCAGCAGAGATAAGGGGGGTACCTGCCCTGTTGGGACCTTGCAAGTCCCCACATGCCACCAAGCTTTCTACAGATGATCTATGTGGGGCGCAATGCCAAGGATGTGGCCGTTTCCTACTACCACTTTGACTTGATGAACAAGTTCCACCCTCACCCCGGGACATGGGCCCAGTACCTGGAGGAGTTCATGGCCGGCAGAGGTGGGACAGGGCACCACTGGGTGCATGTGGGGACCCTGTGGGGTGCTGTCACCAACTGACATCCCCTGGCTGCTCTCCCCATGCAGTGGCATATGGCTCCTGGTACAACCACGTCAAGGGCTACTGGGAGCGGAGGAAGGATCACCCCATTCTCTACCTCTTCTACGAGGACTTGAAGGAGGTGATGGACTGGGGTGGATGGTGGTGTGGCATCTGGGGGGGGTGGCAGGAGGGGTGAACATCAGCCTGTGTCCCACAGGACCTCCGCCGGGAGATTGTCAAGGTGGCCCAGTTCCTGGGGCAGGAGCTGTCAGAGGCGGCACTGGACGCCATCACCCGACACACTTCCTTCGAGGCCATGCGGGACAACCCCACCACCAACTACAGCAAGCTGCCCTCCGAGATCATGGACCACAGCGTGTCTCCCTTCATGCGCAAAGGTGAGCAGCTCTGGGGGG